TTTTTTTTGTTTTTCAAAATTGTCTTTGTCTCCATTCAATATAAAATAAATTTTATTTTATTTGTAAAATTGATAAATTTGCATAAAGCGTGGAATTTTATGCGTACAAAATTTTCTTTTACAGTGACTAAAAAATAATAATAATTTTGAAATCTTTTGTACTCAAATTAATTAAAATAAAAATAATAATAATATTTACAGTAACTAAATAATAATAATAATTTTGAAATCTTCTGTACTCAAATTACTTAAAATAATAATAATAATAATTTTGAAATCTTTTGTACTCAAATTACTCAAAAGAATAATAATAATAATTTTGTATTCTTTCTTGCTCTTTTAAAAGAAGATGAATAGTGGTTCCCCACTTCTTTAATTGGGTGGCTCGAACTCGATACTTATTTATAATTATTATTTAATATTACTTACCCGTGCATCGCACGGGATACGCACTAGTTATATAAAAATTAAATAACTAAAATTTAGAGTTACTTCTAGAACTGATTTCAAAATAAAATCTTCAATATGATGAATTATTGATGAATGTTGTTTTTTTAAAGCATATAAAAATTAAATTATAACTAGGAAGTCATTCAAAAATAATTTAAAAAAATAAAAAATCTCGAAAATTCCGAACCGAATCGTCTCAATAGTCATGAATACCGAACCGAACCAAACCGAAAAATAAAAATCTCTGAACCGAACCGAACTGAATTTTTGATACGGCTCCGGAGATCGAATTTTGGGATCTCCGAAGTTTGGTACGGTTCTGGAGATTTATCAATCTCCGAACCGTACGGACCCACGCTCACCCCTAATTTCAAGTTCCAAAAACAAACATTTGAAGTGGAAGTGTTTAGTGACGATACAAAAATTTTAAAGTCATCGGATGGTTTTCTTATGGAGTCATCGATCACTTAATGTTTTGACACCTGTCAAAATTGTATTTATTGTAAAACACGTGTCAATACACTATTTGTGAATAACTGTAGATGGCTCCATAAACCGTGTCATCCGATGACTATATAGCAAAATTGGCTTACCTTATATATTTAAGTGTCAAACCACCTATAGAGTTATGGATAGATTTAAGGGTACAAAAAAGATTTCTCATCTGAACTATCACGATTTTAGCGCTTCACCCTATAGGCTTTTTTATTTTTACAAACCAGTATCTAAACTACACGGGCTTGTCAAATTACCTTCAATACCGGAAACAAAAGTAGTTTTGACTAAAAAAAGCAAATTTTTTAGGGTATTTTAGGAATTTCATGTATTTTTTTTAAAAAAAAAAAAACGAGAAAACGTGAGAACAAATGGAGGGAGACCATCTCTGACCGGCAACCTGCGACCATCTCCGACTGGGAATATTTGGCCATTTGTCTCATCCATGGAGCAGGAGTTCGAGCTCGGCGGCGGCAGTAGACGCGTGAACTTTGGTTGTTTGCCTGCTATGCGGAAGGCGTCGTCCAAGCGGCATTAGCGTCATCGCGTGGCGATTTTGAAGAGAACTTAGATAAGGATGAATATATAGATTATGATCACATAGAAAATGCTACATCATCCTATGATAACATGTAAGAAGCCTCCAAGCACATTTTTATTTTTCCTCTATTTTTTTCTTTTCATCTTTTTTACCAGTTATTAATCTTTCGTGAACAAGTTTGATGCTTATTGCTGGTATTTTCTTGCAAGATGCGCAGCAAGAATTCAACGCAAAATGGAAAAAAAGATACTTGTCATGCACGACCATTCTGGTCAAGTTAAAAAGTTAATACAAAAAAAACACAGAGGAAACAAAAAAACATGCAATTTGAAGGATGAAGAAGATGAGCAGGAGGGCGAGATCGGGTCGACAGGCCCTAGTAACAACGAGTCACTGGTCAACTCCAACTCAAGCTACCCGCTCAAAACGCCATGCTCATTGGAGCCCCGTCGCCGCCGCCGCCAAGGAAGCCCCGCTGCCGAGAGTGCCTCAAGAATCACGCATTCGCCATCGGCGGCCACGCCGTCGAGGACTGAGGCG